AGAGTGCTCGAAACACACACAAAAGAAAATAGTCCACCACATTAAAAGTCCGGATGGTCGTTGTTTAGAAGCACGGTAATCCATGCCTCCGCCGTCCCGCGGTCCTGCTTCAGGGCACTGGCGGACACACCCCCGATTGCCGAATTTCGGGAGGGGCCGCCACAAGCCCTCTGCTGCTAACCCCCCCTCCAGGAGGGTTAGGAGAAGCCCACCCAGAACGCCTGGGAGGCTCCTAGGAACCGCGGAGGGTCGCGGCGAAGCGCAACGCGCCCGCCCGGTTCAACGCCGTACCGGAAGTCCCCAGCCCCTTTCTCAGCTGGGAGAAAGGGGGAACCAAACTCGCCAGTCCTCCGGCTTGGTTCATGTGGGGGCTGTTCAGTTTGGGGTTTGGTCTGTGGGCCACTCCGAACTCCAAACTGAACCATTGTTTGTAGGTTTGTGCCCATCCCTGGTAAGGATTGACAGGACAGATCTAGGTTGTCCCTTGACAAAAACTACCAAAAGAATCTGTCTATGACCGATGCTTGTAACTTAGCAGTCCGGCATCCAAGTTTATGTTCTGATGACAATATCACATTGGATTTCCTTTCTTACTGTTCAAGAAATTCTGGTTAGAAATTTAACTAGAAATAATGGATGGCAGGCAAAACTAGAAAAAATGGATGGCATTTGGGGGAAAACATGTTTTTGGGATTATCTGTTTTTCAAATATAATCTTGGCTAGATCACTGTTATATAATCTTGCAAAATGCCTGTTAGGGAGAATATGCTGAAAAACAAATAAAACAGGAGCAATAGGTAAAATGGCTCGTAAATGCATCAGTGAGGCCCTGACCTGGGTAGCCCAGGCAAGCCTGATCTCGTCAGATCTCAGAAGCTAAGCAGGGCTGACCTGTAGTGCCACTGCCCTGCTCTTCCCAAAAAGACAAGGCTGTGGTCTACCTGACTGTTCTAAAACCTCCAGCAGGGTTCCCAACCCTTTCCAGGGTCCAGGGTCCCACTCAGAGAATATTGGTAGGGCCAAGACAACAAATGACTGGAACACCCTTCTGCAGACCCCCAGACACACCACCACACAAAAACACACAGGCAGGCAACAAAATGGTTTATTTTTCGGGGCAAAGTAGTACCAGTATTTCTGTGTACAGAACAAGAAAATAGTTTAATCTCTATCTAGTTTACCTTGAACAGTATAGCCCAGTTGGTCCCAGCAGTTCTTAGCACAACTCTCAGCAATTGGCTCACAGCAATCAAAATAGGGTTTTTCCAAATATAACACCACCCTGCCTATAGCCACCAGGCCAGGGGGTAAAAGTCTCTTTTGAAAGGAAAGACTCTGATTTAAACCACACTGAAGCCTGTCCACCAGCACTAATTGCCAATTAAGCTTGACTAGGCTCACCAGATCCCATTCCCCAGGGTCAGTGCTGAGTAACCACTAATAGCCTGCTGGTAGCCAACACTTCAGGCTCCAGAACCCAACCTTGGGCTCCTGCTAGGAACTAGTATATTTACCAAGTAAAAGCAAAATAATCCCCGGTTACTACAGACCCTGACAAGTATTTGGATGGGAGACTTCCAGAGAATACCAGGGCCAGGAGGCCAGAGGCAGGCTGTCAAGCCACTTCTCTGAACATCATCCACGCTCCAGTAGGAGTCACCAGAGGTCACCATGATTTCCAGGCACAGACACGCACGTGCACACACACAAATGCAAAAATACCCCCCCCCCCCCATAACAAATGTATCAGTGAGTACATGTTTACTAAATGCAACACGTCTTTGCTTCAGGGTATGTTTTAATCAGGAGCCTTTGGTACAAAATAATTGCATAGCTTATTGCCTGTCAGTGGTGGTAGAAACTGCTGCCAAGTAACAGCTGTTTTATGATGACCTCATAGGGTTTTCAAGGTGAATGATGTTCAGAGGTGGTTTAGCATTGCCTACCTGTGCATAATGACCCTGGATTTCCTTGATAGTCTCCCATCCAAATACTAACAGGGCCCAACTCTGCTTAGCTTCTGGGATCGCACTAACCTGGGCCATCCAGATCAGTCCAAGGGGCAGGCTTCTGAGGTCTGACAAGAAGTACTGAATTGTTTTAAAAAGCTGCAGTTTTAAAGGTCTCACTCAATGTCCAAAATAAAATACAGAGTGTTATGAATGAAACCAATTTTGTAGCACTTGCATGCATATGATGTAAGTGGGTTTTGACTCTCAAAAAGTTTATACCACAATAAATTAGCATTCTAGGTGCGACGTTGTTTTGGCTGCAGGCTAAAACAACTAGTTTTGTGGAACTTCATTCATCTAAATGAAGTGGCTCTTACAGGCTGCAGTTCTGCACTAGTTATGGTGCGGCGCTTTGAGGTTGGTGGTTCTAGCATGCAAAACATTTACAACTCTGGATTGTGTTTCTAGGAGCTTTTAGCATGGCAGTTTATGCAAGTCTCATTAAAAGATATCTAGCAGTGAATTAAAATGAGCTTATAAGAATGCATTATGCAACTGTTCACATAAACTGAAAATTTGCCAGTGACTTCAACACCTTGTGAATTGTATCCATTTATTTTTTTAAAATTCTATAAAATAAACCAATATTTAATTACTAATTGATAATGTAACTTAGGTTCTTTGTTTATAAGTATGGCTAACAATAAGAATAAGAGCAAAACAATAAAAACTGCAATAGGAACCAAGGACAATAAAAACTCAATATAAAGTCGTTACAGCATGTCATGAAAAGTTAACAATACAAATTAAATAGGACACAAAAAATCTTAAATGCCATCCAAGAACTTGTGAACTAAAAATATCCAACAACAAAGGTACAGCACACAGTAAAAACTGACACAAAACTAGCAAAACAACTGTGTGCTTTGTTTCCCACAACATATTCATAAAGGAGACTTCATTTGAAGTGTAATATATCTATTATATAAAGTCAATGTGCCCATACAATCCATCATAGGAAAATACAGAGGCCAAAGAGTAAATATACAGAATTATATATAGAAAGTCCAATACTTTTCCCAGGTAATTTTTTAGTGTTTCAAACCTCTGGTCCTTCCGCAGGAACAAAGAACCACTGCTGAGAATGTTGGTTACTAAGGGTAACCCATAAGGGTGCTGTTTATAGGTAGGGAGACCTTGCCCAACATTGAAATAATAGAGAAGCATTACCTTGTAAAGAACTGAAAAGGGATTCTCAGCAGCGGAGCAGCACGGGTTGCCAATGGCTGCGGGGCGCTTCCCAGATGTTGTTGTCTGATTGTGCCCTTTAAATCCACCTGGCATTCGCGCCGATGGCGGGTCTAATTGTCTAATTGTGCGTATGATCCGCACCCTAAGTTAAATTTAATAATGTCAAAAACACTGAACTCTTTAATATGTGCATTATAGCATTTTAATAGTGACCAGAATCAGTCACATTTAACCATACATATGAAAATATGTTGCATATATTTAACACTATAAGTTCTTTCTTCATATTACAGTTTTTATTAGCATAGCACTCATTCAAAAAGGTTTTTTCCCATTCATCGGAGCTTTTTTCAGAGCTTGCCAAAACTTTAAATTTTTCCATTGGGGTGAAAAATAGGAAGAAAAATATTTTGTTGTCCCCCCTCACCTCAAGCCTTCACATCTCTATTCTGACCATCATAGTCCTGATCAAATACATTTAATTATATATAATATTGTACTGGAATACTTCAACAGATACTTCCTGTGCTGTCTCACAAGCTGCCTTGAGTTTTAGAAGGAAGCTTTCAAATGATAAAGCAGTGCCTTTAAGCAGAGTATATAAATTCCTCACTGTGTAGAATGGATCTTGCATGGATTGAGGCTTCTCTCTATTACGATTTGCATTTGTTTTATAATTATTCCATTTTGTTTGACAGAATAGATGCTCATATGTTGGTTGTGGGGAGTCTCATATAGATCACAGCACCGTACATTCTCAGGTATGTACATGCAAACTGTTAATTGTTAACATTTATTCAGCTAACCATCTTTGCCTGTGAAGCTTTCCTGATGTACTGGATCTTATTCCTCACTACTTTTTTCTTGGTGACATAAATATGAATGGATGATACAAAAGAAAGGTGTAACTTCTAATTAGAATCTAGAATGACTAGACATCCATTTTATACAAGATCCATGATTACGGCTCATGATCTCAACAGTAGCCGTGCAAATATGAGAAAGCATGGTGCAATGGCAAGTAATTCTATTGAAGGGCAATGGTAGTATACCAGTGTGGTGCATTTAAAGCATTCAATTTATTGCTGAAAATGGTACCTGAAACCACTGTGTTTGGGGATGATATAAGCAATATGGTAATTCCTGAACTTATAATAGAAAGTAGCTTTATATTATGCAGCACTTGTATTTAGTATAGACTGTTCAATGCATAGGCATGTGACTAAGTACATTCTTTTGACTCTTCTACTATAAGAGCTGAAATATAGGCAATATGGGAAGAGACATTCCCAAATGACATGAATCTGAGCATAGAATAGTATGCTTTCCTTATGTATTCTTAATTTATATCCACTAACGGGAGCTGTGAGGACTCAGAGGGGATATGCTGTTCTCCCCTCACTTGGTGGTCCTTGGACCCTTAAGGTGTTGTTTATTTATCATATGGCAGAGTTATACACAGGAAGCATATAATAATATAAAATATGGAACCAAACTGATTCTAGCATGCCTTCTTGTGGTGCACCCTGGATAACGTTAAAGAGCTAGAACTTCTGGCTGCCAATCGTAGGATCTCCTGGCTACACTACACACACGGAGACAATCAACCCTTACTGTGTGAGTGGCAGCTTATGGATGGAGTGGGTGGGGTGAGCCAGATGTGCTTTCACATCCAAGCTTCTGCCACCACCAATCAACTGATGAGGGGATTTGGAGCGGAAAATGTATTGGCTGCACTTTCTCTTCCAAGCCACCTCTGACCAGATTGCTGATAAAACATCACAATGTAGTATCATGAGATCCTTTGTACATTTTTTGAACTTTTTCCATTTCTTGGGTGGTAGTGGGGTTAAACCACTTTGGGATTTTTTGCAGGGATTCCATCAGGCCCATAGAAAATTTTTCCCTTTGTGTACTTGGCCTCTGCACTTTTTTGATCTTCACTTTGAGACTAAGTTTAGAATGAAATGTGGGAGGGTGTGAGCCTTGCTTCATATGTTCACAGTATTGCCTGTGTGTAATGATTTCTTGTTTTAGTGAGTGTGTTTCTTTAAATGTTTGGTTTGAGTGCAGTGCTGGAAGGAGAGTGATAGAGGGAGACAAGTGTTCTGTGATTGGAGGATGACTGAGAGTGGGAGGAGTTGTTTGAAGTGAATCTGTGTGTGTCCTGAAGTCAGAGAAATCAGTTGGAGTTATTCAGTTAGTGATTCAGTTAGTGAGTGATTCTGAGTTATAGAGTGACTAGCAGTAAAGCCCGTTGTGAAAGCAATACAACGGGATCTAGAAAGAGTCTCTGGGGCAGTGCTCTGGCTTTGGGCAAACAGTGTCAATTTGCTGTGGTGACCTCAGCAGGGTATAATGACAGAGTCCACTGTTTTCTCCAGAGGAACTGATCTCTGCTACCTGAAGAGCAGTTGTAATTGTGAGTGATCTGTAGCCCTCACCTGGAGATTGGCAGCAATTGTTACCCAGGACAAAGTGGCTGGTTTGGAGGGTGTAGTCTATGGCATTCTACCTGTCTGAGGTCCCACCTCTCTGCAAACCCCACCCTCTCCAGGCTCCACCCCTCAAATCCCCAGGAATTTGTCAGCATGTAGTTGGCAACCCCATCTCCTTCCCAGCTAACCATCAACCTACCATTATCTGCCCCTTTGACTTCAGCTGACTTCTGCCCTCCCTTCTGCAGAGCAGTTGTAATTCTGAGTGCTCTCCAGCCCTCACCTGGAGATTGGCAACAATGGTTCCCTATGAGGGACTGACTGGTTTGAAGGGTGGAGTCTATGGCAGTGTACCTGTCTGAGGTCCCACCCCTCCTCAAACCTCACCCTCTTCAGGCTCCATCCCTCAAATCTCCAGGAATTTCCCATCTGGAGTTGGCAACCCTATCAGGACTGGCCCCAATGTGTTTTCTCCCAAAGGCCAAAGTAGGTGACAGGACCAAGCTTAGTTGCCTACCAACAGGCACTGAGGGGAATGTAGGGTTGCCAGCTCTAAGGAGGGAAATACCTGGAGGTTTGGGGGGTGGATTCTGTAGAGGGCAGCATTGGGCGGGGGGGCGGAAGGACTCAGCAAGTATAATGTCATAGGGTCTACCCTCCAAAGCAGCCATTTTCTCCAGGGGAACTGATCTCTGTCATCTGGAGATCAATTGTAACAGTGGGAGATCTCCAGGTCCCACCTGGAGATTGGCAACCCTAGGGGAAAGTCAGCTGCACAGCAGGGGGTTGAAGAGAATGGTTTGATGGCTGCTGGGCCAAGATTGGCAACAATAGTTCCCCAGGAGCCCCATCGTAAATGCACCAAACAATTCCTAAAGATTTTCCAAAACACTACTCTGTTTTGGGCTCCTGGGGAACTTTGAAGTAGCACCAAAGCTTTAAGATCTCTCCAGCTGTCACCTGGAGACTGGCAACAGCTTGTCTGGAGTGTGGGCAGCATGGCATTGTATCTGTCTGAGGTCCCCCTCTTCCTCCTCCTCCTCAGACCCCACCCTCAGCAGGCTTCATCCCTAAAATATCCTGGAAGTTTCCAACCTGGAGTTGGCAACCCTATGTCCTGGAGTTCCACCCTGGAGTTGGCAACCATCAGCCAACCTTTATCTGCCTGTCTGTCTTAAGTTTTACACACACACACATCCAGCCTCTGCCTAGGGAAAGGGCAGTCTTTCCCTGCAGTGGGAACCAAAGCAGCTGACATCATTCTCATCTCCCCCGTATGATCCACACAACTACCCTATGAGGTATGTTAAGGTTGAAAGTGTGTGAATGGTCCATAGTCCCCCAGGCAGCTTTTAAAACATGAACCTGGGACAAGAAAGAGAACCAATAGTACAAAGAGCTAAGCCAGTGTGGCTGCCTATGTGAGAGATTCCTGTCAGAGTGGGATCTTAATGTCAAAAGACTGTATGATATCTTCCCAGTTTATTTACCAGTTCCTTTTCCCTAAAACAGTTACAGTCAACCAGCAACGTATTTTTTGTTCCTTAATCAATAAATCATATTTTGTTTAAGTTTAACCCAGAATTCAGTTGAATCCTTCCTCAGGGCCACATAGACCTTTGAAAGCCCAGACCCTGGGTCACATTACCAACAGCAGAAACAGAGAGAAGATTTGGAATTTCTTAAAATTTCTGGTGGCAGCAGAAACTACCCAGTTTATTACACAAAGAATAATTTTAAGGTGGAAACAGTCCCCCCAAATAAGTGTGCCACACTGTGAGTGATGGAAACAGTTTGTGTTCCTCTTTTCTACTGGGCACTCCATGCAAAACCCAACTACACTGAGACTCTGTTACAATAATTCTGCCTCCATTTAAAAAAAAAAAAAAAGGGAAAGGAAGAATCATAAACTGGCCCAAGGCCTAGGCTATGGTGGTACTTTCCCTCTTTTTTCAAAGAGAAGCACTGTAACAGGGCCTTTGAAAAACTGTGTTCATTTTATCTGCTACTCATTAAGCATTTTCGCTATTGAAAGAGTTGCTGTTCTACAGTGCAGCAATGGTGCTACCGCCTCTAAGCATATAGACTGGGCATCTGGTGTTTGTTCCTAGTCACACACCATTTTCTTGCATACCTGTCACAGAATAGATGCTGCATACATTCTTGGTGAGCACAATAGTGCTTGAATTCCCCCCATTAGTGGGTGGAGTGCCATAGCTAGCTGTATATAATATGTGCTGGTGTCATACATGCTGGTGTTCAAACAAAAGCATGGACTGTTTGAAAGAATTAGGGACTTGTGTGTTAATCTGCTTGAAGAATGTGAGCTATCCATCTACCCAGTGTGCTCGCTTAAATATTGTGCTGCTGAGTAGGGACATTCCTTGAGTGCTGAATGCCCCTCCCCAATATAGAATAGAATGGCTTCTGAAATAAAATGATCTATCATTTTGCAGAATGTTTAAACAGAAACTTTCAGGACAACATTTTTATAAAGGGTTTAGAATTCCTGAATGATGGGTATTGTTTGATTATGGGATTGAAATGACCTTGGTCAACCCTGCTGGATGACCTGTAGTTGGAGAGGGACAGGGAGAGTGAGACCTGTTTATTTTCCTGGACTTTCTGGAGACTTTATACCATGATTGATACCATGATTTCTGGATGTCCTTTCGGAGTTGGGTCTCAGAGGCATTGTTCTGCAGTGGTTTTTTATCTTACCTTGAAGGTAGGATTTAGACTGGTGCTCTGGAGCTGCTGCTTGGCCTCTGGCCTGTAGGGCCCCCATGCTTTTTATGTAGATGTTAAAAAGTCACTGGAAGGAGTCATCTGGAGATTTGGGTTGTGTTTCCTCCTATATACAGACACCATTCATCTCTATCATGCCCTTCCATCAGATCCCAGGGAGGCTATGGAAACTATGCCAGATGCCTGAAGGCAGTTTTGAGACAGATGAGAGCTAACAAATTGAAACTTAATCCTGATAAAACAGAGGTGCTAATGGGAGGGGGGTTGATCCAGGAATTGGGATAACTCCTATTCTGGATGTGGTTTGCAGTCCCCCAAAAGGAGCAGGTTCATAGCTTGAGGGTGCTGCTAGACACAGTTCTTCTCTTGAATAAACAAGTGGCAGCAATGATCTGGGGTCTCTCTCATCAGCTTGGGCTATCTATATTTTATTTATTTTATTTATTCAGGTATTTCTACCCCGCCCTACCCCGCAACCGCCTCAGGGCGGCTTACAAAGGCATAAGCCCATACATAAAATTTATAAAATCCGATAAAATCACAAATCACAACCAGCATACTATTAATAATATTAAAGTGCTTTAGATTACAAGATGGTCTGCAGTTGGCACCTGCCAACTAGAAGCTACTGTTGGTACAGAATGCTGCAGCCAGAATGTTGATGGGAGTGGGTCATAGAAACTGTATCACTCCAGTCTTGTTCAATCTCCACTAGTTCCCAGTTTGCTTTCCAGGCTTAGTTCAAGGTATTGAACTTTAAAGCCCTATGTGCCTCGGGGCCAGCATACCTTAAGGACCACCTACTCACATATGAACCTACCTGTCCACTCTGGTCTTCTTCAGAGACCCTGCCTCAGGTGCCCCACCATCTGAAGCTAGATGGGTGGCAACCCAACAAAGAGCCTTCTTGGTCAGGGTGCCAAAATGGCAGACTTTCCCCAGATTTGTCTATCTGCCTCTATTGTCTTCCATCAGTGGGTGAAGAATTTTTTGTTCTTTGCCGCATTCACCCACTAGCTGTTATTGACCCCCCCTCCCTGGTTATGGTATTTTGTGTGTTTGAGGGTTTACATGTTTCATTGAACTGTTTAAATATTTATATACACTTGTAGTTTAAATACCTTTGTAATGTTGATGTTTTAATGTTTGCCGCTTTGGGTACGCTAGTTGGATGGAAATGCAGCAGACAAATGTTTTCCTGTAGTATAATAGGACAGCTAAGATGTTTTCCTAAGGAAATAGGATTGTAGTCTATTGCAGTGTTTGTTGCATGTATCACCTCATTTTACTTCTTTATCTTTTACTTTGCTTATCCATTTTCGGCCTTGTTTATGATATATCTTGTCTTAGGCAAATTTTTGTATTGTTTTCTAATTCTATAATCCTAGTCCTGTTGCACTGTTTACTGGATTTTTGTGTTGACTGAATTGTGTTTTTCACAGAGAAAGGTGGGATATAAATGGAGTAAAAACGTAGTTTGTAGCAGAACTAGATTAATTGTACATGCTGTGTTTAGGCATGTCTTGTTCTCTTACCATCTCCTGCATTTGTGATCGGAACCTGTTGCATATGCAGTGGTCTCCAGCATTGATAAAGTGTAACGTATTGCTGTCTTTCACCAGCATCTGGAGATCTCTGTAGATGGGAACTGAGTTTTCTCCACCCCCCAGATATCTCTTAATGCTGTATTTAGGATATGTATTTAGACCCATGTACCAGCAGGTCATTGGCATCCTACCTTTTACCAACCCAATTTAAAATTAAAAAACTTTTGTGACTGGAGTGAGCTTCCCCCCTTCTCTCTGTGTGATTAGACTTAAGGCTGTGACCAAAAGAGCTGTATCATTAAAGGAAAGGAAGGAAAGGATAGGTTTTTAGGATAAGTATTAAGGACCGTAGTACTGCTGTAGCCTATATTTCAGAATGAGAACTTAAACTTTCTTTATACGGTTCATATAATTGCTCATTAAAAAGGTTCATATAATTGCTCATTCAGAAGGGAATTAGATAAGCATATGGAGCAGAAGTCCATCAGTGGCTATTAGCCACAAGGTATAGATAGGGGCTCTGGGGCAAGTGATGGGGGGGGTCAACAGTGGGATGGCTTCTAATGTCCTGGCCCCACTGGTGGACCTCCTGATGGCACTGGTATTTCTGGCCACTGTGTGATACAGTGTGTTGGACTGGATGGGCCTTTGGCCTGATCCAACATTGGCATCTCTTATGTTTTTATGTTCTTATGTTCTCATATAAAATACATATATTTGAAGGTTGTGTCTTTAGAGTTTGTTACAGGAGGTGAATTTAATAGTTAAATGTTGCATGTACCTATTTATATTGATTGAGAAATTTGATCCCCCCCCCCCAAGTTCTTAAATTCATTAACTTTGTTTTCTAGGAGACAAAGCATTGTTTGACAGTTAATCTTACCACATTACGTATCTGGTGTTATGCATGTAGTAAAGAAGTGTTTTTGGAAAGAAAACTGAGATCTCATTCGTTATTGCAAACTGTACAGCTATCTCATCAAGATCCTGAACACATCATACAGGTAATTAAATTAATTGTCTACCTGGCATTGAATTTATAAGTAGCTTTGTAATAGGTTTTTGTTATGCTTTTCTCTGGAGTTGCTAAAATGTTTCAACATGTTTAATCAAATACATGAAAATTCACACAGAACAAGAATTGTGTTTTTGAAACAGAAGCAGCTAAAATTCTGTGGATGATTTTTATATTTTGAAATTAATTGATATAATGTATTCTAAAGTGTTATATAAATGTTCTGCTTGTACATGTCCTCTAATTTAATTATTGAAGTTATGAGTGTTCTTAATGTTTTACAATTACATTGATGGCTGCAGTCCATTCCCAATAGCTTATTTCTGCCCTGTGAGATTTTTTCTAAGAAATTGAATTGTTGTTTCTAGGCCATATCACAAATTTTGAAATCCCTTAACTTCTAAAAGGGGTTGTTGTTGTTTTTGCCATGTGGCACGGGAAGCTGCTCTCTGAGAAGTATACATCTTAACCTCAGCAGAGAAATTTAATTTATGAAGGTTTATTTATTTTACTTTGTTCATCTACATTATTTATAGTCTGCTTTTTTCATTGGGATTTCAGGCAGATTACACAGAGTGGGTAATCTCACTCATTCAACAGGATACATTCAGTAAACAATGCAATAGGATTTGGATTGCAGAATTCTGAAACCATCCAGAAATTTGAATACAGAACTGAAGCAAAGCATAAATATTAACATGATGCATTAAATGATGCAAAAATTACATAGTTGGAACCTACTTACAAGAGACAGTACAAACTACACACATTAGTATGGACAACAGTACCTACCTTTTTACCCAGTTTTGTTATAGTACACCCCTATTTACTGTGTAGGAAAGCAGTCTTAAAAATAATTCAGTTTTGCTTAGTTTGCAGAAGGCCAAGAGAGTTGGGAGCCTTCCTGACCTCCTTGGGCAGGCCATTTCATAAGGTGGAGGCCACAATGGAGAAAGCACATGTATGGTCAGTTAATTATTTTGCCCAGTGGCACCTGCAGAAAGCCCTGTTAAGATGAGTGAAGCTGTCACAGTGGAGCATGGAGGAGAGGCAGTCCCACAAATATGAGGGACCAAGGCCATGAAGCACTTTGTATTAGACAGCCAATACCTTGAACTGAGACTAACTTGCATAATACTTATGTATTTTAAAAGAAAGTGAACAAAAAATGCCTAAAGAACATATAATTTGATTGCATGCTATCAAAATAAACGTAGGCTGGGACTCAAAGAGTAGCATTTGTCAGTGAAAGTGACTTCTGTTTGTTTGTTTTGGGTTATTTTCTCCCCCCACCCCTCGGGTAGCTGTGGTCTCTTCATGCTGTCTTGGGTGGTGGAGGGCTGACTCTCCAGAATAGCAGTAACTTTGATGTGTGTGTGCGCTCAAAGGGTTGTATTATGAAGAAGAGCTCTATCATCAGAAATTGCAGATGTTATTTCAGAGCCTCTGGCTCTAATCTTTGAGATTTCCTGGAGTACTGGTATTGTGCCGGAAGACTGGAGAAGAGCGAATGTTGTCCCGATCTTCAAGAAGGGAAAAAAGACGGACTCAGGAAATTACAGGCCTGTCAGTTTGACATCAATACCTGGAACAATTCTAGAGCAGATTATTAAACGCTCTGTCTGTGAGCACCTTGAATGGAATGAGTTAATTCGTAGTAGCCAGCATGGGTTTATCAAGAATAAGTCATGCCAGACCAACCTTATCTCCTTTTTTGACAGAGTTACTAAAATGGTTGACTCTGGCAATGCTGTGGACATTGTGTATCTAGATTTCAGTAAAGCATGTGACCAAATTTGTCATGATATCCTTGAGGATAAGCTGGTTAAGTGTGGGCTGGATGGTGCAACCGTTGGATGGATTCATGGTTGGTTGAAAAATCGTACCCAACGAGTGCTCGTAAATGGCTCTGCATCTACGTGGAGGGAAGTCTCAAGTGGAGTGCTGAAAGGATCGGTCCTGGGCCCGGTGTTGTTCAATGTTTTTATAAATGACCTGGAGGAAGACATAGAGGGGATGCTTATCAAATTTGCAGATGACACGAAGCTAGGTGGGATTGCTAATTCTGAAGAAGACAGTCAGGATTCAAAATGATCTAGATAGGCTGGAACAGTGGGCTGAGACAAATAAAATGAATTTCAATAGAGATGTGCAAAGTCTTACACTTAGGTACAAAAAATCAAAGGCACAGATATAGAATGAGAGGGACTTGGCTTGACAGCAGTACATGTGAAAGGGATTTAGGTGTTCTGGTTGATCACAAGCTAAACATGAGCCTGCAGTGCGATGTGACTGCGAAGAAAGCTAATGCAATCTTAGGATGCATTAATAGAAGCATTGTGTCCAGATCACGGGAAGTGGTAGTTTCCCTCTATTCTGCTATGGTCAGGCCTCACCTGGAATACTGTGTCCAGTTTTGGGCACCACATTTTAGGAAGGATGTTGACAAGCTCGAGCGTGTCCAGAAGAGGGCAACCAGAATGGTGAGAGGGTTGGAATCCAAGTCTTATGAGGAAAGGCTCAAAGAGTTGGGTATCTTTAGCCTGGGAAAGAGACGGTTTAGAGGAGACATGATTGCAGTCTTCAAGTATTTGAAGGGCTGTCATGTAGAAGATGGAGCGGATCTATTCTTTCTTGCCCCGGATTGCAAGACCAGATCTAATGGGTGGAAATTACAAGGGAGTCGTTACTGGCTAAATATCAGGAGAAACTTCCTAACTGTAAGAGTGGTTGAGCATTGAAACAGTCTGCCTCAGGAGGTGTTGGATGCTCCTTCGCTGGATGTTTTCAAGCGGTTGGACTAGATGACATGCAAGGTCCCTTCCAACTCTAACATTCTATGATTCTATGATCATGGTTCTCTGGACTGAACTTGCGTAGTCTGTGGAATGCAAATTGTAGTGTGTGATACCCCAAACTTATAGAAGAATGTGATTAGTACTACAAAGTCACATAATTATAACACAAGCAAAACAGCATATAAGGCTAATGGGATGCTGGAATAAGCATAATAGTATAAATAAATCATTTGAAAAGAAGTTATATAGGTATTAAGAGAAATAAAGTATGAAATGTTGTTTACAAGCCTGCTAAAGACATATTATAGCTATATGTTATTCTAGGGTCCAGTGACACCTTTAAGACCCACAAAGTTTTATTCAAGGCATGCGCTTTCGTGTGCATGCACACTTTTGAAAAAGTATTTGAAAAAGTGTGTGTGTGTGCACATGAAAGCTCATACCTCGAATAAAACTTTGTTGGTCTTAAAGGTGCCACTGGACTCTAAATTTGTTCTTCTGCTTCAGACCAACATGGCTGACCACCTGGATCGATATATTATTCTGATAGACTACTTCTGGTTTACCACTTTTTAGATTTTAACATATTATCAGTAAAAGAACATGTGTTCTGCTCATCTTCATTATTAGCCATTGGTATTTGCCTTTCATGAAAGGATCTCATCTTACTGAAGCCAGAGTTTTCTTTATTTATTATTTATTGGGACTTTTATCCTGCCCTACCCCACAAGTGGGCTCAGGGTGGCTTACATCATAGGACTTCTATAAAAAAACATCAGTATATTAAAATTAATTCTAACAGAGTTAACATTTAAAAGACCAATTTAAAATATCTGATGGTGATTAGTTTGTTTCAGTACATGCTAGACCTATGCCAGGTAGGGGCAGTGGAGCACTTCGTTGGTACAAATCAGCTGTTCCTGGTGCCAAATAATATAAGTAGCACTATGGAGCCACTGAAAGCAGGGGAGGCTGATATTATTTGACATCCACTGCCTCAACCGAAGGCCTAGCAGAATAGCTCCATTTTACAGGCCCTGCAGAATTGCAACAAATCCTATAATCTCAATTGGGAGCATATTCCACCTGCTGGAGCCAGGGCAGAAAAGGCCCTGGTCGAGGCAAGGCGGACGTCTTTTGGGCTGGGGACTACTAAACGGTGCTGGTCAGAGGAGTGCAGGGCCCTTCGGGGCACATATGGGGAGAGACTGTCCCACAGGTATGCTGGTCCCTGGCCGTGTGGGGCCTTAAAGGTTAATACCATAACCGTGAATCTGACTTGGTACTCAATTGGCAACCAATGCAGCTGGTGTAGCATTGGCTGAATGTGCACCTGCACAGACGTCCCAGTCAGCTGGTGCTCTGCTGCATTTTGTACATTTATATACTCAATATACATGTACTAGGTTATTTTCTCCAAACATCTGTTTTTTGAAACAGACCAATCTGGTGACAGAAGTAGGAAGGTCCACATTAGAACCTGTCTGTAAATCTAGCATTTCCATGGCACTATTAATACATGATTGTTCTTTGTTGCAATAGAAGGAAGCATTTTAATTCTGCCAGTCCACAATGACTAGTTATACATACCAGCTATAAATGCCTGACTTTATATGTACAAAGTTAGGGTTGAATCCCCCCCCCCCCCCGACATTTCCATCCTGGGGTAATTTCCTTCTGGGGTTGAGGGACTTGTGTGTAATAATGGCACCATTTGGGTAGCTGTAATGGGGAAGTGAAAGGAGAAGAAATTGCTGCTTTCTTTCTCTTTGATAAGCAAGCTCCGCTTATACAAGAGGTGAAAAGATCAATCTCATTCCTTTCCCCCTCTCCACTACTGCCTCCTGACTATTAGTCCACGGAAGTCCCTGAGTCCCCAAGAACAGACTTTCCCAGAATCAGAAATAGCTCTGGGGGAGGCTAGGGCAGGGAAACCCTGGACTGTCAGTGCTTCTTATTGTGTGGTTCATGGGATCCAGGCCTTGGGATATGTGTGTTTAAACCTGTATACAAATGAAGAAGATATTTGAAAAAATGCTTTTTACATTTTATCTTTCCTAAAGGATATTAGGCTTCCCAGTATCCCAACACTGAAAATTCCTCTAATTGCAACATTTGAGGACCTAGATGTACAGGTAGATGAAGAAGATGAATTCAAGGCAAGAGGTAATAGAAACATTTACCTGAATACTGATAGCTGCTCCAAGTTACTGTTTCCATATTCATGTCTCCTGTTTTTGTTTTAATTCCATAACTGTAATGGTTTTATAAGGAGCTGTGGTGGCTCAGTGGTTAAGATGCTGAACTGCAGGCTGGAAGGTCGGTAGTTCAGCAGTTCGAGACCAGAGTGTTGCACAACGGAGTGAGCTGCCGTCTCTGTTATCAGCTCCTGCCAACCTAGCAGTTAGAAAGCAAGAATTTGCGAGTAGATAAATAGGTACTGCTTCGGTGGGAAGATAACAGCATTCCATGCGCCTTGGCGTCTAGTCATGCTGGCCACATGACCATGGAAATGTCTTTGGACAGCGCTGGCTCTTTGGCTTGGAAACGGAGATGAGCACTGCAACCCTAGAGTCGGATTTGACTGGCTTTTGAGCAAGGGAACCTTTACCTTTATCTAATGGTTTTATAGCAATTTAATGACCATGTTTTCCTTGTAAATTAAAGCTCTATTTTCAGGTTGAGATTAAAAATAGTTATCCATGTATAGGTAAATACGTGTGTCTTAAAATGGCTGTATTAGAGAAAGAGTTAAAAAATCAGGACCACCAATTAAAATGTTGTAATCAGTAATATTCATGATCATTAATAAGTTTGATATGGATATCCCTGCAGTTCAGAGTAATACTGTTCTGAAACAGTTGCAGCCCTCCCTTCTCCTCACCTTGTTAAGGCTATGATGCTTTTGAGCTGCCATTTACCAACATGATATTATTTAGCAGTGGATTTAATACTTTACCAGACAATGCCTGTATGGAAGTTGTTTACGTCACATATCTAAATTGTGAATTGAGATGAGAGGCATCTGAAAATTATAAGGAAAGTTTTATTTTGTGGTTTAGCAAGTAAGCCTTCAGCGTGAACAATACAAGTCTCTATACCTTGTGTATGCTTTCAGTTTATACCAAATAATCATATCCATTATTCTTTCTGTAGCTGCTATATTTGTCTCACAGGAGTGGGTAGGGAGCAATTTCTGTTTCCCTTGTTGCTGTAGCCTCCTGCATTGTATCACATACTATTCCAGATCATTCCCTGCTTTTCAGAGGCTTTTGGGGGGCTGCTGCAGACTTCAGTGGGAAAGGGGCAATCTCTTTAGAAAATGGGAAGAATTCGTAGAACGGTTGAATCCAGCCTATTTTACCTACAAAAAGGTTGGCAGATGTTTCTATATGTGCCTTGCAAATACAATGTATGCAGACTCTTAGAGGGTAAATTTTCCTGGAGTGCTTTCGCTATAGTATGAGGGAGCTTTGGCATTGTTGTATGTCTAGTGGTAGTTGTGTTAGTGTTGCACTGAAAATAAATGAGAATCTTGTGGCACCTTTACAAATTTTATTTACTTTTTTTGCCTATCTCTTTTTTGTCCTCCCACATGGGCTGCCAGATTTTCTACTAGAGAGCCTGGGAATTGTAATTTATTTTCCAAGGTAACCAACCCTGGCATATTTACTCCCTTGCAGTTGCATGCCTGCTGCTGAGGAAGTAGAAAAGAAGAGGCAAAGCAGCCACTGCAGCAGCAGCTAGGTGGCATCTGCTTTACTTTCATTTGTAGCTCCCCTCACTCTTGTGTGAAATCAAACTGATGTGGACAGACTGCTTGTGTTACCAGGGCCTTCAGAGCAAGTTGGGCCTGGGAAGTTTTGTACCCCTGTGTGTTGTCTCTCCCCCCCCCCCCACTGCAGCCTGGAGCTTAAAATCCATGCAAGCTGATACTGTGGAGTCAAGCCATTTATTCTAAAGTTGAAGCTGGCACTTATTGGCAGCCTACTGGAGTAATAATAGTTTTGATTACTGTAGCACATTCAGGCAAGGGCCTTTGTCTCAATTTGCACATCTGAAGTTTCTGAACCATCATCAAAGGTAGTCCAAATTGTTTACCCTCATAGAGTCCTTTATTGTTTCCAGGTATTGATTCAGCACCTTGGTCTCCCTAGATTTAGATGGGAAAGAACATCATTGGTGTCCTGGTGGCATAGTTCCACAAAACTTCAGATGATCTGTTCCAAGTGGCTGCATGCAGATATTCAAAAGCATGGGGGACATAACTGATAGTTGTGTGCCAAGTGACTGATTTAAAGGTTGCCACTACCAATGTTCCCTCTAAGCTGTGGAGTCTTGTGTGCCAAAATTCTACTTTGTGAGCTACTGGCATTAAAGTTGTGAGCCAGTGATTTGGCTACTGCAGAAATTAGTTTGCTCTGGAGCCATCCTTCCTGAGCTGAGACAGAAATGGTATTCCCCAAATACCTGGAGCTGTTCAGTTATCACTGTGTCCAAGAACCTTCCCTAAAAGTGAGAGATTGGACATGTCTGCAACTATTTAGAAGAGGTTTCTTTAAAACATATCTGACTGTGGCTGCTATCAGGACCATGGATGCTGTTTACAATAGGCACCATCCATTATGTCAGATGTTCTGTGGCTGATTTCACGAAAAAATTGTGACAGTATCTTGTGATTCTGTGGCAAAGGAATAATATGAACAGAATGATTTTTGACCTGTTAATCTTGAGATTTTGAGGGGTGGGGGAGATCCAAAGAGTGTTGAATGTGTTAAGTCCAGTTTAGTTTGGATGAAGAATAGTTGTTCATTATTAAAATACAAATTATTATGAGACTGTATTGCATTTATATCAGTGAAACCTCAGTCAGTTGAATGAGATGGGATGTAATATTTAAACTTTCCAACTGCTCAGGAATAAAACTGTTGGAAAAATTGATACAATGTTTACAGTCCATCTTCTCTCCAGAAAGGGAAGCTCATCAGTGTAGCTCTGGCGCTGGCCTGGGGAGGCGGCGGGGGGACCTCTTCTGGTCTCCTCCGGGCCGCAGTGCTCCGGCGTGGGCACGGGGAAGGCGGCGATGGGCCTCCTTGGACCTCCCTGGGGCTGCAGCACTCTGGCGCGGGCCCCGGGAAATCGGTAACAGGCCGTAGCAGGGGGAGCTGGAGGCGGGGCTTGCTGCCACTGTCATTTTGCCAGCTCCTGGGCTCCCAGAGCAGCGCTCCGGTACGCTTCGGCCCCTAAAAGACCCCTGGTGGCTGGGATTAGCTTTGGCAGACTGTGGGATGTGAAAGAGTTATGGGAGGACAGGAAAGCTAAGTGTCGGGAGAGTCTAGAGGCAAATAGTTGAAGGAAGGCTGCAGAACAGGCCATCTGCTAAGAACTGGGAATCTGAGGGAAAGGTAGTTGCACAGGAACCTTAAAGGAAATGGCAGAGGTTATGGAACTGAAGAGAGCAAGGTTTAATGCACAGTGAAGGAAGGTTTGGAGAACTTCATGTTGTGGACTAGGGTTGCTAGGTATAGAGTCTGTATCCTAACAGATTTGCAGAATCTTTAAGAATTGTTTAGAAAGGGAAATCGTCACTACTCATAAGATCAATGTGATCAGATAGTTCTATTATGGGGTGGGTAGTGGTGAGAAGAGTTGGGACTGATGAATAGACTGAAGTTAACCAGCGTATATATAGTACAGTAAATATGCTTGCAAGCCAATATTGACTACTGAAAAGCTTTGCAGATATAACAGGATGGAATGCTTCTAACTTTATGAGGAACTATTTGTATCTTGTGTATGCTTTGTTAAACTTTTTGTTCTAGTTTGCTTAGTGGTTTTTCCTTCTCTGCAGGTCTGACAGGTTTGAAAAACATTGGGAACACTTGTTACATGAATGCAGCTCTTCAAGCGCTTTCAAATTGGTAAGAAAAAATAAATAATTCTTTCTGTACCTTTGTGTAGTCTTGCCTCTATAAAACTTGCAGGAAGTTAAGAGTGCACACCGGCTGTAAATTCTTACAGCCCCATTTTGATTTGTGTTGATTTAAGTAGTATGAATCTTCTGTACACATTTCTGTAGTTATTCAGTTCTGGTGTTGTGCGGTACTAACTACTGATGTGATGTGAAATTTCCATCTCCAGACAAGCCAAATAGTCTTGGGGGCAAGAAAGTGACTTCTGAAGTTTTACATGTGTTTTACATATGTGTGAGATTCCTTCATACTGGAATAGGTTTCAGATCCGTGGAAGTGTCTAGCTATAGAATTTCCCATAGAATTTAAATAGCTATGTCTAGCTATAGAAATTTAATACTTTTTAAATTTCCGGTTAATGGCGACACGCAGGCAGACGCATCTCCCGGACCTCCCGGGGATGTAATCTGCGCATAAGCATGTAGGAGGGGGTGCAACGGGTTGCGACCCCCCCGGAGCCTTGGCAAGAGGCTCCTAGCCAGGGGGCTTTTGAGGGGCGACCTCTTCGATGGTGCAATGCCGGAGAATTGAGGTGCTCCTCCGCACCGAAGGTCCTGCCGCTGAGCGACCGTATGGTACAAGTGCTGCTGACTGGGACAAGCGTTGGAGATCGGGCAAACCCCCCCCCCCCGATGCCAAGTGAGGCCGGTTGACCAACAACAAACTGTGAGTCGGGTTGAAGCGAGTATGAAGAATTAAAAATAAAGCTGCCCCCCTTAAAGAGCAATGCAAAGCGAGCAGGGGAGGGGCCCCTCCCATACGCATGAATGAAAACATGGAATAAAGAGGGGGGAGCGGAAAAATTAAGTATTTGGAACTGTTTTCAGAGTCTTACCAGAGCGCAGATAAGCATTTGGGCGAATATCAGAGACTTTAGCAACTTTTCGATAAGTAAACAAATCCAAAAAGCTGGCGGGGAAGAAACCGGAGAAAGAAAAACTTTTGAAAGTGAAACTAGTGGGTAGTCCTCGAATGGAAGAGACCACTGAGCTTTCAAGAATGTTGGTAGATTCCTTGCGCCCTCTGCTGGATAAGATGACCAGTATTAAGCAACAACTGTCAGTAATTGGTCAGAGTTTGGCTGCACAGCAGCTGCAATTGACTCAATCCCTAAAAGCAACAGAGCAAATGGAGGAGAAGGTGCAAAAGCTGGAAATGAAGCAAGCAACGGTAGAGTCACAACTTTTGCAGTTGCAAATGGAGAAAGCCAATTTGATCCTACGGTTTCAAGAGGTCCCGGAAATTAAAGGAGAGAATCTGAAGCAACGACTGAGTGAAGCAATAGCCCCAATGACAGATTTGACAGCGGAATACCTCTACAGCAAGATGGATGTGGTCTACAGGTCCTATTCCTCATACATCAAGAAAAATAATCTGCCTGGGGAAATAAATTCTGGAAGAGACATGTGAGAGACTCTATTTTGAAAGCAACTTCGGGAACTCCCTTGAAAATTGGGGACAACAACATCAGGATTTTAAGAAACATCCCATTTGACATAAGAAAGAAGAGAAAGAATTATAAAGTGCTAATCCTATTTCTACAAACATGGCATCAGTTATGGATGGTTAATCCCAGAAGACGTCATTTTCAAACTACACGATGTTCTTAAGGTATGTGAATTTCTGTGAACACAGCTCGGGGAACCAGCTGAGGATGAGAAGGAAGAAGAAGAAAGCAAATCTGATGGCGAGTTAGGCTCGGGGTCTTCGGACGAGGACTCACCCTCTGAAAAGGGGGCGTCTGTCTCCAAAACTGCATATAAAGTGAGGATTAGAAAAGAGAAGAATAAATAGTGGCTGAAGGACTCTGATTTGTGCCGGAAAACTCTGAAATGATTTTGGGATGCTCAGGGGGTTTCTTTAAGCAGTTAAATGAATAGTTAAAAGATCATTAACCTAGCATAGCCGACTATGTTCATTGTTTTAAGAGCTTTTTAAAACTAACATTGAGTTAAACTGATGTATTGATCTCGTACTCTTGGGGTTTTAGTTATTAGTGGGTCTTTTTTCTTTCTCCCTTAGCTATAGTTCCCCTCCCTATATTTTCAGTTGTAGTTTGTAGTTTGCAAAAAATCAATAAAAAAAATCCCCTCAGGGGGATCCAAAAAAAGAAAAGAAAAGAAAAAGAAATTGAATACTTTCTAAGGATAAACTCATGCATTCCAAATTTCAACAAATCAAACATTTTCAGTCTCCTGATGAGGTGTATAGTGAGAAGTATTCAAAAGTTAAGCTTTAGGAGAGGCTAGAAGTAACCATTTTATGACTTCTTTTGCTATTCCATTTTTCCATTCCATTTATTAATGCTCACAGAACAATTGCAAACATAACAAAGATATTTTCTGTTATTGTTAATGTTAACTTGAAAGGAACCTTTTGTTGCAAGCTGCTGTTAATTTCTGCCCCTAAAAATAACTTTAATTAGTCTATTAAGGTACTGCGAAGTCAAAATCAGAACAACATAAATGTTTAAGGTGTCAGTTTTATGCAGGTTACCTGGCAGTGTATTTCACAAGTTTCATCACTTAATGCTATGCTATGAAATTGTGCTAGCACCAAGACTTAACTTTGACCATGTACTGTAACTACTTTAATGGTGGTGACAGCCTTTCTGTTACTGAAAACATATTACGTTGATATTTCTACAAGGACATTTGGATTACATTGCTTTGCCAAAAGAAGGCATGATCCTATTACTCCCATCAGGGAGTCTTTATTTATTTATTTATTTATTTATTTATTTCATTGGATTTCTTGACCACCCTTCCCCGTTCAGGGTGGTTTACAACAGGATAATTCAATACAGATTCAATACAAAACATATCAATTACACAAACACATCATGAGCTGTTAATGTTTCAGATTACATGGTGATCTTTGAAATTTAAAATTGCTTTATGTTCTAAGCTTGGAGTATGAATTGGGGTGGTGGTTGCAGGAAGCTTTTAAGGCTTTCTATTATTCGTGAATTTGCTTTGCAAGCAGCAGAGTTACAGTCTATAATAAAGAACAAAGTTTGAGTCCAGTGGCACCTTTAAGACTAATAAAGTTTTATCCTTGGTATAAGCTTTCATGCGCGCGCACACTTCTGAAACCTGAAACTTAGTTCTGTTGCTTCAGAACAATGCGGCTACCCACCTGAATCAATCTATAATAAAGGTTAGGGATATTGACCCTTTTGTGCTACTTTAAAATACTAATTGTCTTTTTCTTCCTTATTACCAGTCCACAGTTAACACAGTTTTTCCTTGACTGTGGAAGTTTAGCTCGGACTGATAAGAAACCAGCCATTTGCAAAAGTTACTACAAGCTGATGACAGAACTGTGGCATAAAAGCAGGTATAGTGTCACTTACGTTATGAGATATTTCTGTAAGTCAGCCTCCAATGACGGGGATATTTTCTAAGGAATTTAACTGAAAGGTTCGGTTTTTATTTAGCATGGCATAGTACTTTCATGACATTTGCTGCATTCAAATGTTGTCATTAAACTGACATTATGAACAAGATCAGCTTGTTGTTAGCCTCTTGCTGTCCTGAGGATGAGCCTCAGGGCTGGCCTCCGCCTCTCGGGACTCTGGCACCGCCGTCAACCCCAGCTCCGACAACAACGGACCCTACCGGGGGCAAGAGTCAACCTGACATGCCGTCACCACATCTCCCGGGACCTGTCGAGATGGCTCTGCAGTGCCCGGGCAGTGCTTCCACCAAGGAGGTGCCAGCACACGAGGGGGATGACCCGGAAGAAGGGGAGAGGATCGCGCCAGGCCAACGGCCCGGCGTGAGGGCCCAACCACAGCACAGAGCAGTATGGATGGAGAGAGACATGGGACAGGCAGGGGCGCTAGGACCGGAAGATAGCCACACCCCAGCCCAGCGTCCCAGTACAAGAGGAAGGGGCAGGCTACAGAAAGGAGCAGGTGACATGGGGGTGGGGATAAAAGGAGGAACCAACACGGAGGCCGGGGAGGAGAAACGCAACACTGGCAGCACAGAAGGGAGACGTGAGAGAGAGGTGTCAGAGTGTGCCAAGGGAGTGTGGAGGGTGGTGATGTAACCTCCTCCCCTCCTGAACATCTGAGGCCTCTGTGGTCCCCTTTTCCACTCCTCAGGAAGCAGGTCGCAGTGGCGTATAGGGTGGAGCAGCAGGGGGCCAGCGACAGCGACGAGAGGTCGTCGAGCTCATGTGACACTTGCATACTCTTCTCTTCTCTCACAGAACGTGATGAAAGAATCCTGTTTTTTTTTAAAAAAACTCCAGTTACCTGTGACATTTCTCGGTTTACCCAGAGATAGTTTTCCCTGCCAAAAATTATGAGTAATGTGATTTATAATTCATTCTGGTTTGTGATGGCTTATGATGGGGCATATTAACTCACGTCAACTCAGGCATCTGCATTTGTATGTCATGGGTAATTGGAGTCGGTTTTAAAACCAGAACTGCTTTACTGCTTTCCATGTGAGTAGGTAGGGAGGAAGAGGTGTAAGGTGGGACCTGGCAAGAAGCCTGGTTCCTGCACATGGTCAATACTGGTTTAATGTCTGAATACAGCTGTAGGCATGGCTTGGCACCACATGAACAGTCGTGAATATTATTTCTATTCCACCCTTCTTCCAAGGAGTTTAGGATGATATAAATTGGGTTATCCCCAGAAAGAGCTGGAGGCTTAATCATGTGATCTCTTTTTGGCACTATAAACTAACTGCACTTGCCCTGTAAATCTGTTTCTTCCTGATTTACAATGTTCCTTTGTTGGACAAGCACAAGCATTTCAAACATTTCTGGTCTAAACCAGGGGATAACTATTTAGGTTATAGCACACGAGAGGATAAGGGATCAGGTGAGTATATCTATGACTTGTTCCAGGCTTATTCATGTACCATGGCATAAACAATTAACTGGAGGCATTTTATGATGGATACTCATCTTGTAACAGCTGCTTAAATTTTATAGAATACATAAGTCAAAGCAGTTAGCATATTCATACAAACGACTATGCTAATGAAAAATGGCTGCAATTTGAAATGGGTTAGTTTTGATGGCAGGTAACTTTGTATATCAAAGTTTGGATTACACTTACTGGAGAAATGAACCTCATAATAATAGCAGGTTACTTTGTATGTTAATGTTAATGTTAAGCCTTTCAGTGTTGCAGTGTTACAGATTAATGTGCTTCACAAAATCACCCTTGGAGGTTCTACTTCTGTTGCTTCTGCATTCAGATATTAGATGGGGCCTGTTTTTAGTAACTTTAATTTTACTCATTATGTTAGCTGCCTTTAAAGACTTTTCAGTGGAAAGGTAAAGTTCTTTAAGACATATCCAGTAAGACCCGATTTATGCACAATTGAAAACATGAGAAAATAGGACATGCCTCACTAGATCAAACAGAGGTCCAGCCTTCTGTTTTTGTTGTTTTTGGTTGTGACCTGACAGATAACCTTTGGCAACTCAAACTGTGCAGGATACTTCTGTTTTTTCCCCCCTTTGGTACAGGTTAACTTGAAGATAGCAAAGTCTGTAGCAAGGAAAATGCCAGAAGGGAGGCATTATTTTTAGTGTATATTTACACAGTTGTAACACGCAGGCAAGGCCCACTGGAGTTCTGCAAGTATGTGCTGATGCATAATTAGAATTATTGTATGGCAGTGTGTGTAGTATAGCCAGAAGATCCTAAGATTGTCTGTAAGCCAGAAGTTCTAGCTCTTTAGTGTTATGCACCACTAGATGGCAAGGTAGACTTTTTTTTTAAAGGCAAGAGATGTTTCAGAGGTAGTTTGCCGTTGCTTGCCTCTGCGTCACACCTCTGGTTTTCCTTGGAGGTCGCCCATCCAAATACTAGCCAGGGCTGACCCTGCTTAGCTTCTGAGATCTGATGAGATCGGGCTAGCCTGGGCTAGATCTAATCTGCTACTGATGCATGAAGGGGCTATTGGGACACAGTACTAGTCTAGCAATGTAGCCAACTGACAATTCCCAGAATCATACAAATATGAACAGTGGATTGGGTTCAAGGTTATGTCAATGTAGCAACTTGACAAAAGTGATTTTATTTTTCACTGCATTTCCCTGTACCTCAAGCAGCCTTCTGAGCTCATTAAAATGCCTCTGCAACAGAATGCCATACAACACTAAGAAGTTGCAGTGAAGAGAGGGAATTGGTTGGAATCATTCTCCTTCCCATTCCACTGAATGTTATAATGTTTCAAGAGCTAAGATTTCCTTTACAGGAGGAGGATTTCTACTAACTGCTCATTGTGGCATTTAGTGCCCAGTGGCTTACTATCTTTGGGGTGTAGGGTGGGGGGAAAACTAATTAATAACTGCTCCTGTCAAGTTGCCAGATTGATGTAACTTTGGATCCAGCTTCTTTTAGACTTAATATAACAGTTGCAGGGAAGTAAACGTTTGTATCCAGAATCAATAATACAATGTATATTGAGGGAATGTTATTTTTTGCATTGCCCACATGAATAAAGTTAGACTCAGCAGTTGCAGGTTTGCTTAAAAAAAAGTTTATTCTTCCAGGCCCGGAGCTGTTGTCCCCACAAATTTGTTTCAAGGAATTAAAACAGTTAATCCAATGTTTCGTGGATACTCCCAACAGGTAAGCTTTTCTTACAGCTTTCTTTATGCATCCCACTGTGGCAGATTATTTTGTAAGATTTAGAGAGCTAAAAATATTAAAAGTTAAAGCATACACAGCAAATAAATGGGTAATGACCACAGTTCCATTTAAGCTGTGCTAGGGGGTTCTGGTGCACAACATTTCAGAGGCCAGCTCAGAGGATTTCTGCTTCAGCTCACAAACAATGGAGGATGGGGGCACCTCCTTCTGGGGCCCATAGAATTGGACCCTCTGGTCCAGTCTTTTTGTAACTTGGGGTGTGTGTGTGAGGAGAGGCACCAGCAGTTATGATGCAAATTTGGTGCCTCTACCCAAAAAACAGCCCCCCTAGAGCCCCAGATACCCCTGGATCGATTTTCCATTATAGTCTGTGGGGCCCATTGACTATAATGGTCCCCATAGGATATAATTAAGCCAGAAAAAACCTGTTTTTGCACACCTGTATTATGCCTTTCAGTATGATTTGTAAGGTGCCTTGAAAAGGGAAAAGTGGGATATAAATATTTGAATAAATAGTTTTGGGCAGGTTGATAACATTAAAGCAACTTCCTGTTTGTTAGGTTAGGCAGGGTTCTGACAGTGATTGTTCCACCTCTGTTATACTTGACCTGTAATGCTGGTGGTCATATTTCACTAAAAAATCCCAAAGTAGACTACAAGAGTTTTTCCCCTGTTAAGTGCTGGTATGTTTTTAAAAGTCAGTGCAGGGAGACGGTCCAAGGCCAGGTCTACCAATATAGTGGAATGGGGCAGGTAAATCTGTTCTCCAGAGAAAGGGGTGGGTAGACTGGCTCTCTGGAGGCCAGGTGTACCTGTATAGTAGACTGGGGTGGGTAGATCTGTTTTCTGGAGGCCAGGTCTACCAATATAGTGGACTGGGGCAGGTAGACCTCTTTTCTGGAGGCCAGATCTACCAATATAGTGGACTGGGGCAGGTAGACTTCCGGAGGTCAGGTGTACCCATATAATGGAAAGGGGCAGGTAGACCTGTTCTCCAGAGGCTTGTTCTACCCCTATAGAGGACAACATTTTGTGTAATGAAAATTGACTTGAATCTGTTTTCTCTTATAATGTTTAAATTATTCTTTAAATATAGTTTAAATGAATTTATTCTGATATTTTTTCAAGGTTATGGAAATTTTCTAAAAATAATTTAAGCATTAGTCAAATGTAGACTCGCTCATAACTTTAATGCTACTAGCTTTTTTTGCTCACAACACTGTGGAGCTTAGAGGGAACATCGGTAATGACCATGCTATTAAATACATATGAATAGAGTTTACCTGAAAATCGCCAAACTTTTAATTGTTTTCTGCCTATAAAGCAGTTAATTGTGTCCTAAAAGCTCTTGAAACAATAAATTTGCTTAAAACCCAAGAAGAACTGCAACTTCCTAGCTTTGTTGCTTATAGCAATCTTAGTAACAGGCAGAAGTTTTGTGTTTAATACTTGATAATGCTACTAGTTTAATCTAGTGGTTTGTGTACTCTGTATACCAGAATGACTGATTTAGGGTAGTTTTAACTTAAATTAACAACAAGCATTGTTTTTAGAAGTGCCAACTTTTTACCAGCCAAGTAAGACTTCAGGGACAGATGGCATGCTTAGAGATGAGGCAGTTGTCACTTAAAGCCCTCTATCCTTAAGTTTCTCTTGCTACCATGGTATTTGTTTCAGCAATAACACAGCACTGCAGCAGTTGGCGTGGCTTGAGGAATTAACCTAGAGAAGCATTTCATGTTTTGCATGGAAAACACTTGTGGACCCAGGTAGCTCTTATCTGTGAGCTTGCAATCATAGCCAAATATATGCTACTTCAGGTTGCAAGCAGTGTTCCCTCTAAGCTGAGTTAGTGTGAGCCAGCTCACAGTTTATTAGCCTCCGGCTCACACATTTTTGTCTTAGCTCAGGAAGGATGGCTCCAGAGCACACTAATTTATGCCTTGGCCAAATTGCTCACTCACAACTTTAGTGCCAGTAGCTCACCAAGTAGAATTTTTGCTCACAAGACTCCACAGCTTAGATGGAGCATTGGTTGCAAGAGGGTGATATGACAGATATCCTCGGGGCTAGACACTACCCCACAGGATTTTCCCCTACAGTTTCCCTTCTACCCTACTGTGCTGGGGTTCCCAGCAGGAAATCAAAAAGAGAAAAACAGCTCAAGTAGATAGGATTTAGGCCAGTATATAACCCACCTAAGCCTGGTCTTATAACTGAAATAAACTGACAAGCACAAGATAGCTTTTTTTAAAAAAAGTCAACAAGAACGAAGTTTATTTCAGAAAAACTCACAGCTGAGGTAAGTATTAACACTTAAACAGGAGTTGTGGATTTCAGGGTTTTGTGTTGTGAATCTTTTTCTTTTTTTCTGTTTCATGACCTAGTTCCTGGTTTAGATACTGCAGAATAGAAATTTATTAAAGGAGTTATAAAAACCTTCATCTGAATAGCGTAAAGAGCTGTATGCTTTTTAAATTTTAGGATGCACAGGAATTTTTGCGTTGTTTAATGGATTTGCTCCATGAAGAGCTAAAGGAACCTGTCATGGAAGCAGATGATACTAACCTAGAGAATGCAGAAGAGAGCATGGAAGAAGACAAACGGCACTCTGATGTAGACTTTCAGTCATGTAGTAACACTGATAAGGGGAGAAATGAGGTTTGGTCAAAATCTGCTACAGAGGACCATGCAGAAGATGCTATGCTAATTCAGGATGATGAAAACATATGTAAAGACTACCAGAAAGAGAAGTCCTTCTGTACCAGCATGAACAGAGCAAGTTCCATGGAAGACATAGAAAAAGATATTAATGGTTTCTTTGAAACAACTGAATTTTTGCATAACCAGGAAACCATCAAGGTGCAAATTCACTGCAAACATTCAGGTGATTATCCTTTCCTTTCCTTTTATCCAATAAAAGCTCTGTGATACATCAGTCTTGAGCAGTGGATAGTTGTTGTTAATCACTTATCACTCAATAGACAAAAGGAGTAAAAATTTTTGGGACTGATAGAGTTCTTGTTGGATCCCTATCAGAAAGTAAAAGGTAACTAAGTCATAGGCATATATGTCTAAATGAACTTAGAATCATGGTAAAATATAATGCCTCCTGAGATTAGCATGCAAAAGGCACTCCAGAAGGACCTGTGCTATTGATCTTACCTAAAGAACGGGCAAATTTGTTCTGAGTAAGGTAAACATATGAACCTATCCCTCATAACTGCCGAGGAGTGAGCAGAATGAACGCCCTTAACAGGCTGTGGAAAGACAACAGACAAGTGTAGGAGGGAAGAGATTTTGGAGGTTGAATACCAAAAAGGGCCTGGATAGTGTCCAGGTTAACATCAAGAGCCAACAATTTCTCAAAGACAGTCTTAAACCACATTGACCTATAAGAGTTTTCTTTCAGGACTGCCAAGTAGCCCTTACTGCTGATGTTTGCCTTGCTACCAAGCTCTTGCCCTAAGGGAAGGTTGGCTGAGTTCTGAACCACACCGGCTACACAGCGAGAAATGTTTAATAATTTTCTCCGAAAATATAAAAGGTGAATGTTTTCATTTACCGAAACAATCCTTATGGTTACTCCATACAGTATAATAGGGATGATTAAAGACTTGATTGTTAATTATACGTTTTTAAAAACTCCAACTCTAGCAGGTATTTAAAAGTTGCTCTCCCTTCCCCCCAGTGTCAGGAGAGAAGGAGAACTAAAAATCAGCACAGAGGGAGTTAAGTTACTTAATCACTAGCAGACAGAGGCAGACTGACTAGAAGCCAAATAGTTAATGGATAATTAAGCCAGATAATAGCCTAGCCAAGTGTTGCTAATTAGCATGACCAGCACAAAACTGGTTAACTAATTTGATGAATAATAATTCTAAAACTTAAAATGGAAAGCATGGAACACACAGCTCATATAAAATACAGAAAGCCTTAAAAAAACAAATAATCAACCCCCTCCCCCAAGAGCAAATATGTGCATAATCTCAAGAGGCATACACCATACACTCAAAACTCAAGAACACTTCAAATACACTTCTCTCACTTCCCTCCCATCCAAAAGAGCACTATTAGTTCCTCAAAGGAGGAAAATGGTAGAGAAGAAAGAGTGAGAGACAGCAAAAGGAGAACAGTCAGTGTGAGAAACCCTTTGAACTGTTTTATACCCACTCCTACCACTCCCATCCCCCACAGGTGAGGGAAGGGAGACTTCAACACTGAACCTGCCAAATAGAGATAAAAGGAAAAGCAAGCCGGAATAAAAACTCAATAAAATGGAGCAAAGGTAAAATACTAGAGCTGAGATAAAATGAATTAAAATAAGTAGGTGAAAGCTAAGATTGTATAATGAAAGCACTAGAGATGGAGCACTGCCTCATAACCTCCTGCACCAATGCTCCAGGACTGGCACAGGTGATTATATTACTGTATATGATAGAAAAATGTATATAAAATGGCTTGAATGTGGGTTTCCCGACACTTTTTTCTATTTTGGGTTATTGTTGTGCTATGGTATAACATGACTTGAATAATCCCAGTTGTGATTGTTGTTATGGAATGTTCTTGTATTTGTTGTTCCGTTTGGAATACCAGTGATAGAAGGAGCATTTATTTTTTCAGCCTGTCTCATAAAAGGTCAATATGACTGCATCAATTTATGTCGCAATCATGGATGCCTAGTGCATTCTGTAAACAGAAAATTTAGACCAGAAGCAAGGTGAAAAAACATCCTAAATTTAACAATGTACACATTATTCTTATATATAAAATGCATAGTTGTAAATGGTTGTAGAATGGGCAAAAATATGGGAAGCTCCAGCTCCATATGTCCTAGAAACAAACCTAAGTTGTCCTGTCTCTTTCTTTCTCTTACCTTACAGGGCAGCAGATGCCCACTTTGTTTGGGACAGGTCACTACCAGCAGTTGTGGCATGTGAACTGGTGTTTTCAGTTTCATCTAGCTTCTGTGTGATAGCCATTGTTGCTTAAATGTACAGCCCAAGCAGTCTCCTTTTACAATACATTTAAAACATTTATGAGGAGAAGAGAATGGGCTGAAGAAGTGTGTATGTTCCTGTTAGAAAAATGGCTACGTTTCCATTGACAGGTTTTGGAGAAAATGAGACAGAAGCTACTGTAGGGAATGCTCTGTACCTCATTTTAGGTGTGTGGACATGCTGCTTTAATCCTAGGTCTTGCAAACTTTATTTTTGAAACCATATATAGTACATGGTCTTCAGAAAGTTGTATCTGTGATCAGTCTAGCTTTTGTCAATGATTGAATTACAAACACTCTAGTAAGTATTGCTAGTGTCCATCTGAATATGGACAAACTTGTACTGGATCTTTTCGAAGTATCAAAATCAACAATTCATCTTTCTGTAGCTTTCTTTTACCTTGCAACTCCCTTGCCTCCCTTGTCTCCTTTGCCTCTTCAGCCTCTTCTGCATAGTTATTGTTACTGTTACTACATCATAGGCAGTCAGTATCTCACTGCTTCATCATCTGTCCTTTTATGGTCTTTTGTCCCTTATTTATGCCAGTGTTTCCCCAGTTTCTCTGAAGGATGTTGAGTCTTCACCGCATCACCCACTTAAGATCAGTAGCAAAGTGTAAAGGAATTGGCAGGTAGTGCTGAAATTGTAGGGTCCTTTATTTTCATTAGTAGTAGCCTAATTTGTCTTAAATATAAGCCGTTATGCTGTTTGCGAAGACGATAACAGTGTGTGTGTATGTTTTACAGACTATATCAATGACGTCCATATGAATGATGTGTCTTTGCCACAAAGTTTGTCACCCAAAGATGTGGGGAATGCACGTTTATCAACCAGCCCTCCCAAATCAGGTTCCTTCTGGTCTGGGATGGTATCCTCACACAAAAAAGGTATTTCCTAGTTTTACTGTCTTCTCGTTGCTTATTCTGCATGTTCCTAATAGTTGATTTAAAACAAAACATTTAATTTCTTGATTTCCCCCTCAGCCTTTTCATGGTGGCATAGTGAGGAGCCTATTGAATGGTAGCTGATCAGTCATAACATAAGTGAACCCAGACAGGTTGTCAGCCCCTTCTTCCTCAGAATATATGCATGCTAATTGTGTATCATATTCACATCTGACTGGGGTACACTTCAGGTAGAATATAAAACCAGTATCCTGAACTCTTAATAATTCAAGACTCTTTGGGTTTTGTCCTGTTGGTGAATGTACTTTATGGATGCAGTGTCCTGTTATGATTTAAGTAAAGCTTTTCTGTATTATAGTTGAGCAGAAGCAACATGGAGCTCTATCATTCTCCCAAAGAGATAAAAAGCTCCATCACTTACAATTTAAAAGAAATGTTAAGGATCAGATTCCCAGGAGCTGCTTTCTAAAGAGTGCTAGAAAATCCACTTTGCATTTTTGCTGGTATGTACAGATGTTACACTGTTAAGGCTCCGGAAAAATATGTAAGGTGATCTTAAAAGATACTCATTTATTACAGTAAATTTCAGGCCAATCTTATGCTATAAGCTACATTCATTAAAAGACATGTCCTTACTTTCCCCTTAGAGGATTTGTTTCTATCTACAATATTTGTAAGGTGTTGGATCTAAATTTTTCCACACACGTAAATTTTAATATGTAATATTGCTCCTGACAGGAAAAACCCAAGTAAAATGTAAAGGAACAAGCTGCTATAGTATAGCAAAATCTGGGTAAATGATTACTTTCTAAAAGTGTTTGTTTGCGCCCAGTTCTGCAGAACTACTATTCAAAGAAGAATTTGCACTACTTAAGGTAATATGCTGCTCACCAGTGTTCCCTCTAAGCTGAGTTAGTGTGAGCTAGCTCACAGTTTTTTAGCATCCGGCTCACACCTTTTCCCCTTAGCTCAGAAAGGATGGCTCCAGAGCAAACTAATTTATGTAGTTGCCAAATGGCTCGCTCACAACTTTAATGCCTGTAGCTCACAAAGCAGATTTTTTGCTCACAAGACTCCGCAGCTTAGAGGGAGCATTGCTGCTCACCCCTTGAAACTGTACATGTGCTGAGATAAGAAGTAGGGACTTAGGACTGCATGACGTTCTTCTGCCTAAACAGCCATATATAGAATGAGGCTTGAATCCCACGGATAATTTCAGCAGCAGGAGGAGATTTCCCTCTGTAGAGTACCTCTCATTTGCTGCCTTGAAATGCTGCTCCTGGGTGGAAAGAATAGCATGTGGGGAAATCAACGAAAGTCACTCACTCTTACATCTGCAGAAATCCTCCATGGGATCCAAGCCATTTCTTAGCCGGGAGATACTGTAGGTGCTACTCACTTTCTTTTTTTTCCAGGTAAAAGTTATTAATAGACTACCCCAATCCTTCTTACAGTACTTAGTTTCTTTGTATTATGCTAACCAAAATAATCCTTTTAAGCAACAACAAAAATAAGCTTTGAAGATAGCCCAAAAGTACTTAACCATTAAACTGCACAGAGGTCTAAAGTTCTTATTATCATTCCAAAATAAATCAAGATGCCTTAGTCCAATACATTGATTTCCATCCTTTAACACCATCCACATTTCGTTTATAAAAAAGAAAAAGAATTATGCTACCACATAATACAGATGGCAACCCTGTTTCCTGAAGTGCCCTCTTCTCTATGATCATTTCTTGGTGCTTCTCCTCTTTATACTCATATATATCTACTCCATCTTGTTTTTCCTGTTTAATCAGATCTGGCACATGTGCTTTGCAGTCCTTAGTCCTTTTCTTTGGAATTTTTTTCATTTTCTTTTTACTCCACTTTTTCATATCTGCATTAAGTTGCTTTCGGGCATTTCCTTCTGTAAATCCTACTGTCTTGGCTAGCTTTGCAAAATGCTTTACTCGACTTTTTATCTGGGAGCGTTTCTTTTCCGTCTCCATACAAAATGAGTCTTGTGCTTTTTTCTCTTTCTCTGAAATCACAGAACGCTGAGATTGCAGGGGCTCCTCCTTCTCTTCCAGGTCTGGTTTCTGTTTGCTTTCCAATTCTAGGTCTTTATTTAGAAGGTTCTTAATAATACTTTTGCAAGCAGCTTCAGCTGCCTGCCGCACCTCGTTAAATGGAATTTCTTTGAATTGGTCCAAGGTTATATATCCAAGTTCACTGTTTTCTAAGTTAATTAATATTGTTTCTCCTGCTGAGTCTTCTTCCTTTTCCCCAATTAACGCCATTTCCTTATCACTTGCTCTGTTCCTTTCCACGGCCGCTTATATGTTTCAAACGTTTCAGCTAATCTTGTGGGAGTCATTTAATGAGGGTCATCACAGATTGTAAATAGAGCAATTGCGTACTCACAAGTTTCTTTTGTTAAAAGACGAATCAAAGAAAACCCCCCCATAAACGAAACAGTCTTTAAAACGGCTGGTCGCAGCTAAAGAAAAACATGGGAGCCATATTTCTTTCCCTCGGTCGCTCCTGCTTCGAGGCAAAAAACGGCTCACCCCCACACTTGCCAGGTGCGGGAGGTGACCGAGTGACGCCTCCTGCTAACCCCCCTCCCTCCAGGAGGTTGGGCGATGCCCCCGGTGAGCTGGGAAAGCATCAAAGGAGCAAAGAGGGAGCAGGCAATTGGGGAGTTCCCAAGAATGCCTGCTTGCTCACTGGCCGTACCGGAAGCTCCACCAACACTCTATACATGCTTGAAGTGGGCGGTCTTTTGTTTTGAGCCTTCTTAGCCCCTCCTCAGAGAATTCTTTCTTTGAACCTTGAGAAAATATATTTTATCTCTAATGCAAGATTGGAAGGAAGTGCCTTTCCTTAGATTTAACATCCTAAAGGCCATGCATCCTTAAGGAAACACCAATAGAAACCCTTTTGACAACCTATGTGTTCTTGAGCATCAGGAGTTCTGTGCATGGTCCCTTGATGTTAAATTGATGCTTTTGTGTATTGTTTTTTTTTTTGTTTAAATTTTCAGACAACAAACTAAGGCAATAACAAAAAATAGAATAAGGGCGCACATACCAGTACCTAGGAACCAAACACTAGCACTGTCTTCTGTTTATTCCTAGCATGACATAGGGGAATTGTATCATTTTGGCACTTTTGTCTTTGTGGTATTAAATACTGTATTGTTTTCTGAGAAGATTTTAATTTGTCATTTTTTATACTTTTTTCTTACTCCCACTGAGCTAATCCTTTTCAAATTCTTCTACTAGTTTCTCATCTTCAAAATCTGAATCTGGAGGACAGCCCTGTACAAATACACTTTTAAGCAATCCTTGCCTGGCTCCACTAAAATAAACAAGGTTTTGTAGTATAGTGGAATCTTAATTGTTGATTCACATAGTGGATACTCCTCAATCATAGTAAATTAGACCTTGCTCTTAAAATTAGTGTTTGGGTATCTAGTAGGTGAGAGGGAAATATATTTAAAAGAAGCAGGAACCCATGAACGCAGGAGGGAACCAACAAGGACTTGCAGGAGGCATCTCATTTCTCATTCCTCCACTATTTCCTCTTCCTTTCCTGAGAGCCCCCATAGCCTCTCCCCTTTTCCTGTTTCCTTCTCTCCTTAACGTTTACACCTCCAGAGCCTCGGATGTGAGGTTAGCAATCTCAGCAGGGTATAATGCCATAGAGCCCAGCCTCCAAAGCAGTCATTATTAATTTAATTAATAAATGTAATTTAATTAATGGAGCTAATTCAATTGCTATGGCTAATTTAATTACTGGAGGTTAGAGTCACTCTGGCCTAGCCCTTGCCTGCTCCAGCCAGTCCTGGAGGAAAGGGAATGGAGGAGGGTTGCCAGCCCGGCTGCGAAGTTCTCCTAACCACACCTGCTGTCCTCCTCCTCCACTGGCCTCGGGTTCAAGTCCTCCAGAGGTTCTGGCCTTGGGAGGCTGCTGGGGCAGAAAGTGGGCGGCCAAAGTGGATTGTTTCCATGCCAGCAGCCATTTGGGCAGGGGGGAATGCTCTGCCTGCAGGCAACCCCCCTGGAGAAGGCGGGGAAGGGTGCAGCAGCCTTATCTGCCTCATCCAGCATGCTGCTCCCCTCCCAACCAGCAGCCCCAGGCTCCCTCCTCCTCCCAGGGGAGAGGAGGGTGCATTGCTCCCAGGCACTGTGGCTGCAGGCCTGGGGCCACATGTCGTTAATACATATACATTTTGACACGTTCCATGCTGAACTGTAGTCATTGGTGACCGCTTACAGCACATATGACAGTATGAATATAAGATCATTGGTATAAGGCAAACACTGCCACTACTGTATTGAGAGCAGCAATAATTAATCAGTGTTGCTATAAATTGCACTGAATGCCCTGGTAAACAATAGTTTTTACTTGTCAGCTAAAAGCCATCCAGGTAGGCATGAGTCAAATGAATATTAGGAGAGAATTCTCCAGATGAGACACCACAAGTATACTTATGTCACTTGTGAATGTAAGAAGTGGGGCACTCAGAGCTGGGCCTCTGACAAGGATCTTTGAGTAGGTTCATATGATGGTATTCTTACCCAAAGAAACAGTGGGAAGCAGATCAAAAGTTACTATACTATGCCTTTTCTGACCTTCTGTTTTAGTTCCAACTGTATCTTCTCCAAAAAAGAAGAAACACAAAAAATACAGGAGTGTTATCTCTGACATATTTGATGGGACTATCATAAGTTCGGTACAGTGTCTGACATGTGACCGGGTAAGTATAGGTATAGCGATGTCGCCCTCTTCTCTCCCTCACACACAGGATTTTCCCATCTTCTATTTCCCTTGGCAGAGATTACTTCACTTAATTAGAAGCAATTTCCCTTTTCAGATTGAAATGGGATCCTCTTTGATCCTGACACTCTTTTTGCCTCCTTTCCAGTCCACAATCAGTGCTTGTCGCTTTTTCAACTGTCAGTTTCCAACTGTCATTTCTTAACTGTGGACACTCTCCACAGAATTCAGTTTGAATAGCCTGTCACTCAAAAGCGCTCAAGCTGTGTTAGGCATTAATACTTGGCCCTCTGTCACATTCTGTCTGTTGTACATTCCTACAGTCCATGAACCCCATGCAAAAAGTCCCTTCCTTCATATAGAAAAGATGTATTAATGCTTTTATTCATCTCTTGTACATTACTTCTTGTGATGTGATGAATTCCTTGGCTATCTCCAAAAGCTTAGTATAAACACTTTAATTAGTGTGGTATATTATTGATAGTTTTAAGAACCAAATGTAAAACTAGACCATTGGGATTGTCTCCTGCCAACCTTTCCCTGATGGAAGAAATGTGAAGAGAGGATCTCATCTGAGTTCCCTTCTCACTTCAGCCCCGATCCCTGTGGCTCTTATCCATGAGGATCCTGTGACCCATTCCCCCAGCATCAGGGGTTTTTTTGGGGGGAGGGTGATAGGTTGTTGCCAAGGGAAGGTAGGAACTGATCTGCTTCTACTGGAGAAAAATTGATGAGTTGAAAGTTGAAAACTGATGAGTTGAAAGTATGGTTGACCTGTTTTTTTATGCCATAGGTTTCTATTACCCTGGAGACTTTCCAGGACTTGTCATTACCTATTCCAGGTAAGGAAGACCTTGCTAAGCTGCATTCTGGAAGTCATCAGACCTCTCTTGTCAAAGCAGGTTCTTGTGGTGAAGCATATGCTCCTCAAGGGTGGATAGCATTTTTTGTGGAATACTTCAAAAGGTTGGTTTCTTTCCAATGCTTAGATACCTTAAATTGATGTTTCTGCTGTACTGGCAGGACATTTGCTGTTTTTTCTATCAATGATATTTCAGGTTTGTTGTCTCATGTGTTCCTAGCTGGTTTTGGGGTCCAACAGTAACCTTACAAGACTGTCTTGCTGCGTTTTTTGCCAGAGATGAACTAAAAGGTAAGAAATCATTATTTATAATATTTTGTCTTATTAAAACATGTTAAGTTCCATCTTGTCTGTCATACTTCTGGTTCTTTCTGCACCTGTTTACAGATTTTAAAGTGGTCAGAAACATTTCACAATGTTCCTTTTAAGCTATTATTGAAATTGCAGTTATATATATTCCCAAATGGACAAAGGTTTAGAAAATTCAGTGGAGAAATTTTCCCTTTATCCTGTAATTACTCAACACTTTAATTGGAGAGCCAAGCTTCAATTTATGACAAAAATCTCCTAATAGTGAAGTGTAACATGTCAAGGAAATGATAAAAGGCAATTTGTGAATCATATATTAAATTTATGCCTGATGTTAAAATGCTGTAATTTTCTTTTGTCTTACAAAATCAGAAGTGCTTTATAATAATGGTTGTGCTTCCTTCCTTATGCCCACAGGTGACAATATGTACAGTTGTGAAAAGTGTAAAAAGTAAGTGACCTACTCTTAATTCTTAGATCAAGGCACAAATAGAAAAAACTACAGTAATTGCACATTGTCTGAAATACGGTTTTAGAAAACAATAGTTACTCTTGTGGATTTATAATCACTGTTCCTTTCAAAAATAAATACATTTTAATTATATGATCCAGTCCTAAGTTCACTTATTTTAAATTAAATTACATTAAATCACCCCTGCTAAAATTGAAATGCTACATTAGATTTGGAATTTACTCCTTACCTAGGGCAGATATGAATTAACACCTGGTAAACATTTCAAATATGACTCAGATATGAATAGCATGTATAGCTTGCCCGTGCACATGCAGTGGTGACAGTGCTTTGCGTGGGGGGGGGGGGGACTGGGAGTGTGGTTACCAAACAGTAGCTTTTATGGCAAAAGGGCACTGGCCCTAGAGGCAGCATCCAGTTCAATGTACTCTGTGCAGCAAGCTGCAGTGGTTTTGTTTTTATTCATGCTTGGTTTTGATTTGCCTCTCAGAGATGAGTGGCTACAGTGTATTTAGGTGGCCAAATCACTTTAGGTGTTTGATTATCTTGTCTATCTCTTGCTAAGCACATGCAAGCTTTGTATTGCACACTATCAGAATATTTTCCAGACAAATCTATAGGTGAAATCCAAAGCACTGTAAGGCTGTTTCCAAGTTATGGTTCTAGGCTCTCCTTCCCCTGAGTGCTCCTTCCCTCTGAAAATCAATTCATCAAGCAGTCTGATGAAGAACCAAAACACAGGGGAAGGGCATGCCAATGGAAGTAAACATCAGCAGAGTTGTTGGGATTTTCACCATAATTAAAACTTCATTTTTTCCAAGTTTAATTTAATCTGGACCAAAGAGCTATGGCCAAAGTCCCCCATAAGTAATAGGGCTTTCCTGCTGCAGTGCCTTATGCCTTTCTCTGCGGTTGATATGGAGGTTCAGGGATGTTCTGGAGTGTTTGTGTAATGTAGCATGGTAACTGCAGATGGCGGGGGGGTCCACCTAAAATTGGTGTGTCCCCTACATTCTCCTTGCTCAAGGATTCAATACTTAATATAGTCCTTATCTACTAGTTTAATTTTTGTGCTCTCACTACCTAACACAAAGCTTTCCAAACATAATATCAACTAGCTTCTGCTTTGGAAGGAAACTGATCCCTGTCATCTTACTGTTTGGATTGGGAAGTTCAGTTTGAGGGCACATAGAAAAATCTCTGTCTCTGCCATGCCCAGTGTTTTGTTGGTATGTATCTTCTGCAAGTTCTGAGATGAAAGGCCCTTATTACCTTTATATGCACACACAACCTGCTTTGGCTGTACAAAAGAGTGATTTATACACTGCTTATCTGTACATTTGTGTGCTGAGAGGAGATAAGTGAATTTTCTTACCTTGTGAAGACCAGAGTTCTAATGCATAGTCTGCATTTCCAAAATATTTGTTATGTGTTCCTGTAATGGGGTAACCATATAAAGTCTGTTGCAGCAAAAAAAAAACAGAGGCATCTTCTAGTGGTTTAAAGGTGAACAGGTATTGAAGTGTGCACTTTTGTAGGCTACAGTCCACTTCATCAGATGCCTGAAAAAGATTTTAAGTCAGCAAAAGTGCTTTCTCTCACTATGTTCAACTTGTATGCTTTTGGAATTTGTATAGAAATGTTACAGACTGTGGGCTGTCTCACTATTGCACTTGTACAAGGGCATTCTGCTGTCTGAACAGCCAGTTACACTGGCAAAAGACTTCTTGCACTGATGGAGCATACTTTGCTCCAGTGGAGTGCACTGCCGTTTGCTGACTGGTGTGGTAGGATCTTATCTCTGTTACATTTTGTGGCCTTTTAAGTCACTATTCATACTCCCCCCCCCTTTGCTGTGAGCATGGATTTCTGCTAACAGAGAGATAACGGGTTTCATATATCTGAAGTGGGTAGTAGGCCACAAAAGTTTATACTTTGATACATCTATTCGTCTTTGAGATGCCACAATAACCACGTGTGCGTACAATATAAGACTTCAAAAATCATTTTTTAAAAGTATTTGATTACATTCTTTGTAATTGCACCACTTGGGAACAGTGATCATAATGTTATTGAGTTCAACATTTGTATAAATAGGGAATTGGCCAAAAAGACTGACACAACCACTTTTAACTTTAAAAGGGGTAAGTTCTCCGATATGAGGGGACATGTGAGGAAGAAACTGAAAGGAAAAGTAGAAAGGGTCAGAACCATTGGGGAAGCTTGGAAACTATTTAAAACTACAATCCTAGAAGCTCAAAAAAAATATATACCGCAGGTTAGGAAAGGCACAAATAGGTATAGAAAAAAGCCTGCATGGTTAACAAACAAAGTAATGGAAGCTGTAAAAGGTAAAAAGGATTCCTTTAAGCGGTGGAAAGCTAGTCTCAGTGAGGCTGATAAAAGGGAATACAGGCTGTGGCAAATAAAATGCAAGTCTGTGATCAGGCAGGCAAAAAGGGAATATAAGGAGCATAGAGCGAAAAACGTAAAGACCAACAATAAAACTTTCTTCAAATACATTAGAAGCAGGAAATCAGCCAGGGAGACAGTGGGGCCCTTGGATGACCAAGGGGTAAAAGGAGTACTGAAGGATGATAGGGAAATGGCTGAGAAGCTGAATGCATTTTTTGCCTCTGTCTTCACTGAGGAAGATGAGAAGTGCTTGCCCACTCCAGAACCACTGATTTTGGGAGGGGTGTTGAAAGACCTGAGTCAGATTGAGGTGATGAGAGAGGAG